GCCCAGGCCCAGCCCGGGTGGGCAGGGGCTCTGCAGAGCAGGAGCTGTGCTGTCCAGGCCAGGGCACTCAGCACTGCTCTGGGCACACACACACCTCCAGGGCACCCCAACTTGAGGGCAGAGCTCCTCCTCCTGCCCCAGGTCTGTGCTCCAGTGTCGAGCAGGGCTGAGCTGTGCTGTCCAGGCCAGGGCACTCAGCACTGCTCTGGGCACACACACACCTCCAGGGCACCCCAACTTGAGGGCAGAGCTCCTCCTCCTGCCCCAGGTCTGTGCTCCAGTGTCTTCTGCCCAAACCTGCCCCCAGCACTCGCCTCCTCCTGCTGCCAAGGGGCACAGGGAGCTGCAGGCACAAAATGCCAACCCTGATGTGATTTTCCTCCAAACAAGCAGGAGGGTGTTTGCTCAGCTGCCAGGGACCAACGCCAGTTCCTCTGTGAGCACAAACTGTCTAAAACCCAATCCTATTTGCCTGGCAATCTCCCTGCTGAGCTGGCTCTGTGCAGGTCCAACCACCCAACCCTTGGCAGCCCAAGAGCATCCTCCAAAGCAGGACGACCCACAAGGACTGTCCAAGTGAAAAACCTGGCAAAAGAGCTGGTTTTAGACTCTCCTTCCAAAGACACTTGAGACCTTTCCTGTCTCACTGGTCATTTGTCCCCCAAACCACCAAGTAACAAGAAGGAGAATGGGACTGTGAAGCAGCTCAAACTCCCACACTAATATTTGATTTCAAGCTCACTGCAGAGCCTACATTTATGTGGCTGTTTCACTAGTGCCAGAAGGCACAAGACTATTAATACAACAAATGTTTAACTTCTCTCCACAGATCCTCTTCCTAGGCCACATGAAAATTAGTAGGAATGAGCTTCTGCTACAACATGCTGAATTAGAGGGACCCATTTTGAGACCACACCAAACTTGCATCAGTTCTAAGCCACATTTATAGTTTGCAGATTCCCTGGAGCAGTTATCTGGTGTCACCATCAGGGATTGACAGGTCTCTGCTGAGACATCCTGAACAGATGCCTGGGGCAGAAGAAAGCCAAGGAATACCTTGTACTCAAATCAGCAAGATTAAGTTCAGGCAGCTTAACAAAGATAAATCTTGAGAAAACTTGAAATGCAGGAACAAGCCCCTCTCACAGCAACTATGATGAGTTCCAGTTAGAAGAGAGCAGAGAGAGGAGCAAATTTCAGCATCATCTCAGTTCAAATTTCAACACAAACAAAACTCTTCCCAATATTCAGGGTCTCTAAGAGACCAAATTCAGCTGTAAACAGTTTAGAAGCTGAGCTGGAGACCAGTTCCCTAACCCAGCCTAGTATGGATCAAGTTTGTCGTGCAACTTGACTCTCCTGAAGTGAGGGTTCCCATCCATGCAGGACAGAAAACCCCACAGCAGCAGAACCCAGCTCCACACTCCAAGGGTGGCATCTCCCTCAGGCCACATTTGCCCAGGGAAACACAGCCAGCAGTGGAATCTGTGCCCCAGGGTGTGCATTCCCATGCTCTCCGGGTGTTCCCATAGTAACTCCTCCTGCCCAGTGCCTGTGCCATGACCCTCCAGTGCACACAGCCTTTTATTAAAATCTGTTTGTCCTTGAACAGGCTGATTTGCAGCGGATCTGACTCGTCTAATTAACATCACTGCTCAGTTTGGGACCTGAGCAAACCAGGGGAAGGGAGAGGAGGCTGGTTCTCCACCTCCCAATCTGCCAAGGAAAGGGACAAGAGTCAAGGATGGCAATTATTAATAGAAACCCCACAACCTGCTTCTCCAGCCCCCCTGATCTCCCCACACCCTCCAGGCTCCACAGCCAGAGCTAGTTCTGGGAAGCAACTTTGCTGTTTAGTCCCTGCAGGCTTAAAAGCTCTGAGAAACCCAACGCCAAGGGCAGGGGCACCCACTAAAGGTCAATGAATAAAGGCAAGCACACCAAAGCCCTCCACCTACAACAGCTCCCAGAGGCCACAGCTCAGCTGGCCAGAAATCCAGACTAGAAGGGTGATTTAGGCAGAAAACAGGAATCTGCTGTTCAGGTAAACCAACCTGAACCAGCCTGACAGGCAGGCAAAGGGAAACAGTCACTCCAGCTCCAGCCCAGTCCCTCCCCCAGCACATGCCTGAGCCCTCCCCTACCTCTTCTTCTGCAGGCTGTGCATTTTCTGAGCACAGAGCCAGAGCTCCAAGCCCACTGGCAGAAGGATGCAGCAGGGCTGAGGTCTGCTTGGAATAATTTTGCAGACAGGTCTCTCTGTTAAAGTTCCCCCAGGCTGGGTCCAGGGTTTTGAAGGTGCTGATGGCAGCTTCGTGCCCCTACAGCATGCACTGCTCTCCAGTTTTCACTCCATCTGCTTGGACAATGTTACCAGCAAGCTGCTGGAATCCTGAACTTTATCTGGGATGCTTCTTTTTCTCTCCATATGCTGCCCTTGAAAGGGAAGGGGAAAGGAGCATTGCTTTTGTTTCCAGAGACCTAGAGAAAGTCATGTCCTCCTTCCTCTAAGGAACACAACATCCTTCATCCACTGTTGTTTTCAGGTACCAGACAGTGAACTTCCCACCTGAAATCCAGAACCAAGAGTGTCCTGGTTCATTTGCACATTTTCAGCACTGTCCAAAGAAGAAAAAGGGCCCTAGAGAAGAGATCATGAGACAGCCAGTCGAGGGCAAGCAGCTCCCTCCTTTCTGAATTGCTCTCCTCCCAAAGCACTCTGCCTCTGTGGTCACACCAACTATTTTCTCCAAGATCAGAAGGACTTCTGCTATGAACCTCTCCTTGTCCAGTGAGGAGCTCAGGGTTCCTCCAAAATAGGGTCATCTTTGGGCAGAAGCACACGTGAATTTGAGAGGCTCCAAAAGAGTCCTTGTCCATCTGCCACCCAGGGAGTTTTGCAAGTTCCAAAAATTATCTGAGCACTTCTCAGACTGGGGAAGAGCAGGAGAAGGTGGATCCCACAGAGCACATCCCTGCCCATTTAAATGGGGTCCCAACAACCCCCATCTGAGAAGACACAGCCTCCTACCCCCCAGCCCCCAGGTATTAAGTTTTCTCCTCTGCTGACACACAGACAACACGCCTGGGCCTGTTACCACCTCAGCAAGGACCTACTATTCATGTCTTAATACCAGAAAAGAAGATTCAGCCCCTCCTGAGCCAGCTAATTACTGCTGACAAGCTGAAGGTGCTGGGCTTGGCCATATGGTGTGGTTCAGAAGAGGGACACTGCAGAACACAAGCTGCTCTGCCACACCAGGACACTGCAGCTTGTTAATGCAATTCTCCCATCACACTTTAGCTAAGAGCACAGCTATGATCCCAACCATGGGCTTGGATAAAGACATCAGGAGGGGGAAGCTCACTTGAAGTGGCCCCTGTTCCCCAGTCGTGCCCTAAATCAGTGCAAACCACTCTCAGATTTGTATGTTCAGACAGACAGGGTTTCCAAGTGCTCACAGAAGTCACATCCAGGCTCACCACAAGCAGCAAGGAAGGTCTAACAAACAACCTGCCCAGATCAAGTCCCAGACCAAAAGAAGACTACACCATGTATAGCAAGATGTTTTCTCCTGAATGCATGGACGTGACAGAACAGGTCAAGTCTGGCCAGAGAAGAACAAAGTTTTGAAGCCATCAGCTGTAATCTAGAAGTCAGAACAGTGCTGGTTTGTCCAGCAGTGAGTCCCAGCACCAGTTTCCAGCTGGAGCATTGAGCAAGTCCTGCAGCCCCTTCAACACCATGGGTCACATACCCATCAGTAACTGAAGGCACTTCAAAAAGGGCAAGATATGTGTTTAAGAAACAACAACAAAAGCAGTAAGAGGCCAAATCTAGACCTAGTGTTTGGCCACGAATGAGCTGGGCTGCACCCAGCCTCCTGCCAGAGGAAGGAGTCAGTGGTGGAACCCTGGCAGATCCCTCAGCCCCATCAATGTGACAACTACGAATTTCAGACCCAGGAATGGATGGTGCTTCTGACACTCCTATGAAGCAGGAAAGGGTGACCTTCCACCATGTGGTGACAGGGATGAGGGATTCTCTCCCCAGCCCAACACAGGGCAGGGCCACCCTCCCTCCTCCTTAATGCCTTCTTCAAAGGATAACTCATCTGAAGGCAGAAAGAGCCAAGACGAAGAGGAAAAGCAGATACTGCCTTTAACAAGGAGACCTCCCAGGGTCATCCATCACTGTCAGATAGCAGCTAATGATGATCTGTATCACAGGTTGCCTTTTGGCTGCTTTGCAAGCTAGCTGAAAGATTTAAAGAGCAAAAAAAAGATTCCTTTACAAAAGGTGCACAGGCAAAACACAAGGACTCCTACGCATCAAATGTTTCCAAGCATCACAGCCACATGGGGAAGGCAGCGACGGTCCCAGGAGATGTTGAGAACACCACCAAGAAATAAAGCAAACAGCACAAGGTGTTATCAGTGCCATTAACAATAATCAGCACGACTGCTGTCAAAACAGCACTACCATGAGGCCTTGGGTGATGATTTAGGTCCCTGCTCACAGCGTGTGTTCGGAAGCTTGGAGCTGCAATCAGACCTCCCAACACCTCACCCTCCCCTATATCTTCTGTCTCCTTTGCCAAATATTCTAAGCAAATAACACTGCAAGGGCAACATCACACTCGTCCTGCCCCTGCTAGGCTGGCAAACAGCAGCACAGGTTGTCTCAAGCCAAGAGCTGTTCTGCAGGACCAGGGGCTATGCACCGACCCAAGGACACCCAGGGCTGCAGCTCCTGAAGCCCAGGAGATATGGCCACAGAAGGGAGAGTAGGACACAGCAACATCCCACCTCCCAGCTCTGCATCTCAGCTCCATGTCCACTCCAGAGACAGAAAGAGAGTCCATAGAGCATCCAGCAATCAAACCTGCCCCTTTCACACATCCAGGGCTGCCTTCTTCACACTGTCTTGCTCACAGCACTTACCCCATCAACAACAAATCCATCAAACGACACAGAAAATTATCCTGTCACAAGACAGAGCCAGGAGACAGTCATCTGCTGCCTTAAATAAGGCAAAGCTCACAGGGCAAGAGAGCCTCTTCCTGCCAGCGAGGTGAAACTGCCTTTAGGAAGGGAAAAATATATGGATTTCTAGGTATTTGATTCATCGTAGTGTTGCAATTGCCAAACTCATTCCCAAACAGAGCTGCTGTAGTTTCAAAGTGAGGAATAAAATCCAAAGTTTTTAGGCAGGAAAAAAACCCAAAACACTAAAAACCCCAGCAGTAGTAAAAACCCAAACCTTTAGTATATCTATTGATATGTTTAATGAAGCAACAGATTTTAGCACCTTACTTGCAATCGGACTGAATATTATACAAAAATAAATGTAGGTTCAGAGCACTGAGAACAGGGGTGATTAACCACGAGGGCTGTATTTGCATGGGGTTCCCTGGGTGAGGGAAGCTACCCCAGACCCTCCTGGTGCACAGCTCAGTTTCCCCCTGGTGAACTCCCACACTGCAGGCAGGACTCTGCTGCTCTTCTCTGCCTGGGGCACTCACAACACGTGTCAGACAGTTTCTCTCTGGCTCCTGTGCCCCTGGCAGGGCTCCTGCTCCCCATCAAGTGAACAGACCAAGGTACATGTGTGAAATTAGCTCGACTCAGACTCATTTTGGTAGTTTGAAACCAGCACACAGAAGCTGCTTTCCCTCCAGGCAGTGGAGGACAAAACCTCTGGGGCACTTTGACCTACATGTCACCATGCTAATGAGAGGAAGAAAACAAACCCTCTTCTTTTGTTTGGAGAGGAAAGGTCAAAGAAGGAACAATGAATGCTGCACTCAGTCCTTCCCAGCTTCTGAACTGGTTCCAAGTGTCTGGGCCAGTTTCCTTCAGCTCTCCTGAAGCACGTGAGGTGCTGCAGAGGCAGCTCTGTGCCACCAGCACATCTGGGGTGCTGCAGAGGCAGCTCTGTGCCACCAGCACATCTGGAGGGCAGCAGGTTTCCACTCCACACGCTGGCACTGGCAGCAGTATTGCAGGGAGTCCTTTCAGTGACCTCCAAACTGAAAATGATAAAACAATATGTACACACACACACTTACTGCTGCTTGAGAAGAGTTTGTTCAAGCTGGAGCTCCAGGGAGTGCCAGGATGAAGAGGTTTGTGCTGCAGTCTTTTGATAAGGGCATGAAACAGAGAACCCAGAGAGGAAAACTCCAGGGAGTTCTGGAAGCTGCTGGGTCTGCACGCTGGCTCCAGATTTCCTCTTCCACTCACTGATGGTAGCATCAGTAGTCATTTCAGTTAATTGCTATCTACCATTAGCTGCAGAGTACTTACAAGGGATTCAATTCCACTGCATATTTGCTAATAAATACCAAATGACAGTGAGGAAGACAGCTGTATTTAGCTGCATTTACCCTCTTATTAGCAGAGCTGAATAAGACCCTATTTCAATTCAGAATGGCTCCAACGAGCTGCGTCATTGTCAGAGATTCAAATCCCAACTCCCCAGTGCCTGCTGGAAAGCAAAAGTCACCCAGCCCTCCCCTGCTCACTGAAGGAACTCACCATGCTGGACTGGTAGGTGTAGAAACCTCTCAACCTAAGGACTGCAAAGCATTGTGCCAAGGTGTGAGGGTAGCTAGCCCTCCTTCTGGTGAAAAGGGAGCTCAGGTACAGCAAGGCAGAACTTGTCCACAGTGAGTCAGATGTAGAGAATGGAAAGGAGCCCAGCAGCCCTGGCTCCCAGATCCTCTCCTGCAAGCAACAAGTGAACCACTCAAATTAGACCTGCTCTGTTGAGGGTGAGATGGAGGATTTTCCACCCAGGCAAAGATGCTCACATAGCTCATGCCATCAGATCTACATGATACCAAACCATCACTGAAGAGCTAAACCTGCCCAAAGAGAAGCCAACTCCAGGAGCTTAAGACACTCATGACCTCTAGAAACCTGCTCTACACCTGGAAGGATTGGGCTCTCAATCAATTAGATACTAGTGATAATTATCTTAAATCCACATACCAAATCCTTGCCACAAATACAATTTAACCCACAGCAAGCACAGAGAACACAATAAAATTTTTCTGTGTCATCTGAGGAGTGAAACCTCTAAAAGGTAATGAGCTCCCAAATTACTCAACTATCAAAGGATCAGGATGGGATGTAATTAACTTGCAGCATTCAAGAAAGCTCAGATGGGATTAAAGCACAAATGTGAATTTCATCTCATCCTGGTTTAACAGTTTCACTTGATGCCCAGTCTCAAAGCACTGGAAT